TGATTTCTCACTTTCTGTCTCTCTGTCTATCTCTGTCTGGCGAGTGCATGCGCCCTATAGCAAAAACCTCTCTAAAAAAAAAAGTCATGACTTTTCCTATACCCCCATAGCTGTCGTCTATGAAAACAACATTGAATCAGTCCTCCCTTCTTTTGATAAATTTGCACGGATATATATATATTTTTTAAAGAATTATTTTATTTAACTTACACACTTTTTAATTTTAATTTGATCAGAGAAGAGAGAGAGAGAAAGTGAGAAAGCAAGTCCAACGAATAATGTTCAAAAAAAGTTCTTGGGAACGAGCAGTTAGCATAATGGCTATGTCGCTGGACTGCCACGTGGTCGACTGCAGTTCACATCCCGGATTTTGGAGAGGTTTTCGCTATAGGGCGTGTGCGCTCGCCAGACAGAGACATAGAGACAGAAAGCTCTCGCACATGCGCCCGGCGTGAGATTTAAGCCACCCGGTCCGAGACACGAACCGCGGTCAACTACGTGGGAGTCCAGCGACATAGCCATTACGCTAACTGCTGGTTCCCTATATATATATTTTTTAAATCTGCTCTGAACCCACCTCCCTGAAATAACCAGGCGGGTAAAAATGACGTACGAATAAAACAGACCTGGCGTCAAGTCTTCGCGGCTCCCTGCAACAACTCAGGCCAGTCTCTGGGTCCCTCCCGGCCTCAGTTTCCCCATCTGGAACATGGAGGTGCCCAGAACGCCGCTGTCCCGGATGCCTGCGGTGTCTCGCTGCAGGCCTGCAGTCACCCGGTCAGCGCCAACCTGAGATGGCATGCGGAAAGAAACACAGCCAAAACGGGAAGAAGTCACAGTCTTGGCTCCCTCAACGTGACGGCTTTTCTCTTGGGGGCCGCGATCCCGTCATCCTTATCTACCCACAGGAGGGATGGCAGTCTCTGCTGACCCCCCAGAACTTAGGCAGAGCTGTGACTACCTGCGACCATCCAACTCAGGACTTCCGAAGTCGCCGGTGCTGTCCTGGAGGGGCTGTGGGTCACTGCCAGGATGTCTCAGAGCTAAGACAAAATAGTGATGGGAAGAGGATGCTGGCAGGGAACCACATCAGATTCCCGGGGACTGGCTCCTCTCCAAGCCTGCTTCCTGGAACCGTCTCCACCTCCACGGGTTTTTAGGAGGCTCGGACGACAGGCGGCAGGATGAGCGCGGGCCACAGGTACAGGGCATGCAGTAGGCGCTCCATAAATGCCCGCGGTTGTCTAAATACTAACGTTTGAGGGGAGATCCTGAGAGGGGGAGTTTGTGGTGCTCATGTCCTGCTGATCCAACTCGGAAGATGGGGTCGGGTGACACCTGCGGCTGGACAAGTTTCATGTCCTCCACGCCCCAAATCTCCCACCCCGACTAGTAGAGCCACCCACGGAGCACCCAATCCGTCCCAAGGGAGAGCTGTTCCTCCGGTCCACCTCCAGCCAAGCACAGCCAGTCCCTTCGCCTACTTCCTGATGACCCGCAGGGCACATCCTTCCTAATGACCTCCCGGCTGCGTCCCTTCCATAGCCCCGCGTCCAGACTCACCCTTTCCCCGGGACTGCGGATCGAACCTAGAACTCCGCCCCGCCGCCGCGGGGAGCCCTTGAGATGCCACTTCCCATTGGCCGCCTGCAACGCTCGCCGCCATTGGTCGCTGCCTTGCTGCGACCCAGCCAGTCGGGCCGTCAGTCGAGCCAGCGGCGTTCTGATTGGTTTTTCTCCTCACTCGTCACTCAGTCACGATTGGCTAGATAGCGACCGGATGTGCCAGAGCGCCAGCGATTGGCTGTCGCGGGGTGGGCGGGGATACGACGCGGAAGGGGTGGCTCGCGGGGGGGGGAGGGAAACAGGCCTCTGGGGGGGGCGGG